TGTGAGTTTATGTAGCTTTCTATACAGTTAGGTCCATATATATTTGGACACAGGCACAATTTTTTTTTTTTCAGATATTTACCAAAACATATTCAAGCTATAGTTATATAATGGATATGGGCTGAAAGTGCACACTCTCAGGTTTAATTTGAGAGTATTTAAATCCAAATTGGAGGAAGGGTTTAGGAATTACAGCTCTTGAGAGTAGCCACCCCCCTTTTTCAAAAGGGGGCCAAAAGTAATTGGACAATTGAATCAAAAGTGGTTTCTTGGACAGGTGTGGGCTATTCCTTCGTTATTTCTTTATCAATTAAGCAGGTAACAGGTCTGCAGTTGATTCTAAGAGTGGTATTTGCATTTGGAATCTATTGCTGTGAACCTACATCATGCGTTCAAAGGAGCTCTCCATGCAAGTCAAACAGGCCATCATTAGGCTTCAAAAACAAAATAAATCCATCCGAGAGATAGATGGAATATTAGGAGTGGCCAAATCAACAGTTTGGTACATTCTGAGAAAAAAAAGAATGCACTGGTGAGCTCAGCAACATAAAAAGGCCTGGACGTCCACGGAAGACAACAGTGGTAGATGATCGCAGGATCCTCTTCATGATAAAGAAAAACCCATTCACAGCATCCAGCCAAGTGAAGGACACTCTCCAGGAGGTAGGCGTGTCATTGTCAAAGTCTACAATCAAGCGAAGACTTCACGAGAGCAAATACAGAGGGTTCACCACAAGGTGCAAACCATTCATAAGCATCAAGAATAGAAAGGTCAGATTAGACTATGCCAAAAAACATCTAAAAAAGCCTGACCAGTTCTGGAAAAGCATTCTTTGGACGGATGAAACTAAGATCAACCTGTACCAAAATGACGGTAAGAAATAAGTATGGAGAAGGCTTGGAACAGCTCATGATCCAAAGCATACAACGTCATCTGTAAAACATGGTGGAGGCAGTGTGATGGCATGGGCATGCATGGCTTCCAGTGGAACCGGATCACTGGTGTTTATTGATGATGTGACAGAAGACAGAAGTGGCCGGATGAATTCTGAAGTGTATAGGAATATACTGTCTGCCCAGATTCAGCCAAATGCAGCAAAGTTGATTGGAAGGCGCTTCACGGTACAGATGGACAATGATCCAAAACACACCGCAAAAGCAACCCAGGAGTTTTTTAAGGAAAAGAAGTGGAAAATTTTGCAATGGCCGAGTCAATCACCTGATCTCAACCCGATCGAACATGCATTTCACTTGCTGAAGGCAAAACTAAAGCCAGAAAGACCCACGAACAAACAACAACTGAAGACAGCTGCAGTTAAGGCCTGGCAAAGCATCACAAAGCAGGAAACTAGTGTTGTCAAAAAACTCGGTACTTCGGTACCAAGTCGGTACTAAAAAAAATTAACGGTTACGGTACCAGCTTTTCTAGGTACCGAGTACCGGGTTAATCTGGTTCTTGATGCGCTGTCCGAAAGGTGCAGAGTTGCGTCCTCTTCATAAAAACACTGAGACATGGCGACCGGCGGCGCTGCTAATGCGTTGGCTCTGAATCCACTTGTTGACAAGAAAGGAGGAAAGAGCCACATATGGAAATATGTTGAATTAGGCTAATGTCACGTTGCTATAAAGGGCCGTTCACACGTTCACATAGCACGTTTTTTTGCGCGTGCAAATTTCAAATGTAGGCGCGCGGGAAGCGCGCTCATAATAGAAGCGACGTGCGAGCTTGTTTTTCCATGCACTGTTTATGGTTGCATAGCGGAGACACGCGAGAGCGAGCGCTTGTGGAGAGAAGGAGAAAGCTGTGCAAACTGCGCTCCCCGTGATGACGAGGAAGTATCAGCAAAGAATTAATTGATTTCTAGCCCTTGCATTAGAAATCAGCTACAGGGTTATCAAGTTTTGAAGACAGGCAAGAGTGACATTTTTGGCAGTTTTGGATTAAATAAAAGTAGGCTACAGTTAAGTCAAATAAAACATGTTCTATCTCCTGTATAGTTTGGTAACACTACAATAAGATACCATTCATTAACATTACTTAATGTGTTATCTAACATCAACACATTGAGTGAACAATATATTTCTGCAACATTAATTAATGTTTGTGAATGTTATTTAATACAAACACTTGATTGTTCATGTTTGTTCACTTCATTCAAATAATGTTAACAGATAAAACTTTTGATTTTAAAAATGTATTAGTATATTTTTAAATTAACCCCAAGGAGAATAATTGCTACAGTATATAACTATGGTTTATTGTTAGGTAATTTTATCTAATGTTATCTAACAAATATAATCTTATTGTAAAGGGTTTTTAATACTACAGTTTCCATCTTTGTAACTGTGATATACACTTTAATATATGTAAATTTTATCTAAATTAAGCTTTTGGTACAGAAATTGGTACTGAGAACCGTGGATTTTCACTGGTATTGGTACCGAATACTGAAATTTTGGTACCGTGACAACACAACAGGAAACCCAGTCTTTGGTGATGTCCATGAGTTCCAGACTTAAGGCAGTCATTGCCTGCAAAGGATTCTCAACAAAATATTAAAAATAAACATTTTATTAATGATTATATTAATTTGTCCAATTACATTTGAGCCCCTTAAAATGGGGGGACTGTGTATAAAAATGGTTGCAGTTTCTAAAATGTTTACTTGCTATTTTTGTTCAACCTCTTGAATTAAAGCTGAAAGTCTGCACTTCAAATTCATCCTGATTGTTTCATTTTAATTTTATTCTGGTGGCATACAGAGCCAAAAGTGTGAAAATTGTGCCTGTGTCCAAATATATATGGACCTAACTGTATGTGTTTCTATATCTATATGTGAGTGAGTGTGTATAACAAAATGTTTCTGAAAAAAGACACAGCTAACCTGTTTTCAAGAATATCGGACTTCCAACTACACAGGACACAGAAGTGGAAAGCGTAGTTTGATAGGAGAGAATAGGTTTGTGAGGAGATGTACAGTGGAGAGATAATGTGTGTGAGTAGCGCTATGAGCCGACACACACACACACACTTAGCACAGCACTGGCTCCCCTCCTGAGGCAATCATTACAGGGATTTGTTCTGCTTGCACTTATAGTTTTAGCAGATCAATCGGAGAAGCATACGCCAAAGCCCATTATTAGTTCTAAGGGCAACATCTTAGTTTCGGGTGGAGAGGGGGTGGATTGTCCACACTGTGCTGCTTGTTTGAAACGTGGCTCCTTCAGAAGCATCCATGACTGTGAACAACATTCCCCGGAGATGAATGAGAAAATCAATTAGGAGGTGAGAAGCGTTTAGTGCTATCAGTACATGCAAAAACAAATTCATTTAGTGTAATGGAGGTGCCTGCCCTCAGAGATCTTACTGCGACTCTGAAATAACTGGTATATGTTTCATAACATCATAAGATAGAGATGAAAACACATCTATCATACAATGACAGAATCACAATGGACATTTGACATACGTCTTCATGCAAATCTAAAATTAAACCTAGTTTCAAAACCTAGTGCACCGCCTACAAAGGAAGCCTACGTATGTGCGCTCCCGATGCAAAGGAAGAATTGTAGGGATATTCTGGGTTAAGTTCACTAAGTTAAGCTGAATCGTCAGAATTTGTGGCATAAAGTTTTATTACCTCAAAAAAAAGTTAAAATACTCACTGTTTTAATAGCCAAAAGACATAAAATATGTATATATATATATATATATATCTTTTTTTTAAATTAATAAGCTTTTCTGTGTAATTACATCGATGACAACATAACACCTAAAATAACTGTCAAATTATTTAAACTGCTTTACAGCTCAAAAACAGTAATACACAAGTTTTTACAGAAGGATGTACAGTACGTGCTTTTATAAAATTATAAGCTTCACATTTCTACTTTGAAATCCTCCAAAACTACCCATATTGTTTTGTATTATAAATGCCGTAACCACCAACAACAACATGCATTTAGAATCCAGATTTAATTCAGCCTTTTTGTGTTGTAGAGGGGCACTAAGTTACAACTTGTGCGCTATAAATATGTGTGCGTTGCATAATTACACAATTTGAAACAGAAGTCTCTGACCAGGTTTGAATAATGTACACGGATCATTCAATTACACAAGCAATGTGCATTATTAAGAAAGTTAATAGTCAATTTTGATGTTATATTCATTGGCATTAAAGACATTTCCATTTCACGCTCCCATTTACATCCGGTAAATTTCATGCATTTCAGTCTCTCAAGATCTGGAGGAGGCTGCACAGGGTGTCAGGTGAAGTCTGCCCTGGAAACCAATGACACGCTGCTTCCTTCGAGTGAAGTGGAAGGGGCAGTCAGGTGGTCATCTGCAAGTGCCTGATTGTTACGTAACTGAACGCATCATGTTTTGTTGTTGTTGTTTTTTTTATCTGCTGGGCTAATTGAGTGAAAGTGAGTTTGTTTCATGAAGGGAATGGCAGTGAGATGGGAACCAGGGCTTACATCACAGAGATGACATTGTGTCCTGCCCCTGGCCTCTCTGACACTCAGGTCAGATTATATAAGCAACCCTCTCTCCTTCCCTCTCTTTACGTCAGGAGTGCACGGAGCCAGCTCTTTTAGTGTACAGAATGTAAAGCAGCCAAAAGTTACGTAAAAGAATAAAAATGAACTGGTGACCCCCAGCTCATACCACTTTTAAGCTTCTGAGAGACAAAAAAAACCCCACATGGATGAAGTCAAAACAATATGAAAACTACGGTCTAAAAATACTTACTCTTCCACTTGGCTTCTATTCTACGTCATAACAATTGTCAGGCCCACCCACTGGGAAATATCATTGCTTCTCAAAATCCTGCTTCTCATAACCACATATTAAACATCAAATATGTTCTGATTAGCTGTTGCTATTGACGTCACGCAGAATTAGAAAAACTGCAGTGTTAGATTTCATGAAGTAAGAGATATATTAAGAAAAATTAGGAAAGATAGGAAAAGCAAAAAACTAAAGTGTTTGAATTTACCTGATTCTTTTTCAGGAGCAAAAATGAATCACCAGATGATCACAGACCTGAAAGTGAAAGACAAAGAGATGTATGAGGACTTGGAAAATAATAGATGTTAATATTGTTCATATTAAACAGTTTTTTTTTTTTATCACGTATTTTCCTGCAGTTATATATATATATGTGTATATGTGTATATATATATTATATATATATATATATATATATGAATGTTGTACTATTTATGAACCTCATATTATTCCACAATGATTATTTGTACTTAATAAATGAAGTAATGATTTTTTGTCACATCCACACAGTACTTTTAAATAAAATCAAAAAGGAATTCAACCATAGCGCCTAAAATATAAAATTTCAAACATTCATAAAAATGTTATTATAAAATATTGACAAAAAACATTCATGTTTTTTTTTATCTCACCAAGACAGGCATTTTGGCACAATTTTGTGTGTATTTTACCATTAGTGTGTATTTGACAGTGCAAGTACTTAACTTATTTAACTGAGCTAAACTTTTTTTAACATCAAGCATGCGCCATGCTTCATTTTGAAATACATGCATATTTTTTTCTAACGTGTCAAAAACTTTAAGCAGCCCTGCGCTCTGCGGCTATATTAACACAATGTGATACACAAAACAGCAAAATCTCTATCGATTGGCACTTTAAATCTTCCGTACATATAATTTATTGCCAAAATAACTGTACTATAAACTTTCTAGGACAATGAGCTCTGGAATAACAGCGAATTCATATAAACAACATAAACAGAAAACTTAAAAAGAAGACTCGGAAAGACAAACAAAAGAAAAAGTTCCAAAATGCTAATTATGAGGTTCCACTTGTCTGTTTGAGGAACATCCTGTTTGAATGCACAGGTAGGAGGTGGGGGGTCTGTTTCCTCTCCAAGGGCCTACAGACGCACTCCCTACCCACATAGTGTCTCTTTTGTTCTCTGATAAATTGACACTGCCAGTTCCCCACGTTGCCAAGACATGAGGAAGACCGCCGGGAAAAAGAAGTAGGAGCAACGGCGCTACATGTGATTGGTATCACTTCTGACTGACTCTCTTCATGTTTTTATCTGCACTGTCTCCATAGGCATTAATTTCAAAGCTCTGATTGAGGGTGCTAAGACAAAAAAAAAAATATATATATATATATATATATATATATATCATTGTGTTCAGTCAGCCATCCATATCATTGAATAAGTTGTATCCTGCCAGATAACCCAACAGTCTAAACACTCATCAGCCATACCAATTCCTAAATTGTATTATTTACATATAAGGTTACAACAAAAGGCCCATTTCAAGGCCATCCAGTAACTGACAGTGCAATGCACCATAGATACATATATTACACAAACAGTGACATACTCTCTTTCCTTTTAAAATAAAGCATTTTACTCTAGACCCAAGTTTCACAGACAAGGCTTAAGCCTTTAGTACTAGACTAAAATGCATGTTTTAACTGAAAGCAACTTGCACTGAGATATCTTAAAATATGTCACTGCCATTGTTTTGTTTCAAGATTCACACCTAGTAATGTTTTTTTATAAGGCACATTTATAAAAGCTACTTAAATGTTCTAATTGAACCAAGGCCTAATCCTGGCTTAGTCTAAGCCCTGTCTGTGAAACCAGGCTTAAATCTTTGAAAATTATTTCTCAAAATATCAGTGTATCAATGAAAATGTAATGAAAATGTTTTGTGTTTTACGGTTTTTGTTTTAGTTAACCACTCTGATTCTTTCATTGCCTCATTAAAAAAAAGTTGTTGTTTTTTTTGCTCCTATGACACTTTGCAATTGACTTTATGCACAGCTGCACTACTTCCTGAACTTAAGCCAGCTCCTTTATTTCCTGTCTTACATTATTGGACACACTGATTAATCCAGGTGTGTCTGATTGTTGTTGCTATGACTACTGAGGTCAGGCACACCTGAATTAATCAGTGTGTCCAATAATGTAAGACAGGAAATAAAGGAGCTGGCTTAAGTTCAGGAAGTAGTGCAGCTGTGCATAAAGTCAATTAAACTGAAGAAAACTAAAATCAGTCCATGACATTTTTGCCTCTAAACCCCATTTTTTTCAAGCAGCCCAGGAGAAAAGCATCATGTGATTTTCAGAATCTCCAGCCAACAAGCAGTGAAATACGACTCAAAGAAATCTAGCTGAAAGCTGGCAAAGTTTCTGTGCCGTTGGAATGACAACACTAATAAATGAAATAGACTCATAAATTCTTCATGGCCAGTGGCCATAAGTGAATCCATAACTGAAGAAAAATCTGTTGCATTCACCTCTGTGTGACGACGACCCTCTCTTATGTAATTGATAAAATAATTCTTCTTCCAAGAACATTATGAAAGCCTGTCTTTGCAAAATATGTGACTCATTGTATTGAGGAAAAACAATCATTATTTACTCAGCCTCAAGTCTTTCCAAACCTAAACGACTGTCTTTTATTTCCTATGGAACACAAAAGGAGAATGTTTGAATAATATACTGGACGGTCTTTTCTTTATAATAATGAAAGTAAATGGAAACTGGAACTTGTAAGGGTACACAATGACAAAAATGCTTAACGAATGAAAGCAAAAATTCTCAAAAAATCCAAATTTTGAACCAAATCTTTTCAGAACTGATCTGAGCGAACTCAATGACTCAACTTGTTGTAACTGGATTATTGAAATTTTTTAATTATTGATAGTGATGCACCAACATTTTGGCAACTGAAAATATTCGGTTCTCTTACGAGAGGTTCTATAATATAATGTAAAACGCGTTGCGGCAGCATGCAGACATAGGCAAGACGGCTCGCGTGCCTATTGGCTGTCCCGCGGCAACTGCAGCAGGCTATCGAGAGAGGCCCTTGGTGACGTCAGATCCAATGGGGGCGCTTCGTGCCCACTACGTCACCTCCCACCAAAGCGGGCGTGGCCTGGGCCTATAAATATGGCTCGATGGGCTGATATAATCTGATTTTTCATCTCTTCAGCGAAGCTCACGCATCGCTGGATCCGGAGTGAAGAAGCCGCGCCGTCTGAGAAAAGCTTTCTGTGGGACGAGCCTTTGCATCTGAAGCCGCTGGCCTTCATCTCGCCGCCTTCAGTCGCCGTACCTGCTACGCTTTCCGGCATTTATATCCTTTTACTCTGCCGAGTGTGTGTTCGCCGCTGCGACTATCTATCTAAAAGAGCAGCGTCTTTTTAAAGATGCCTCGTTCATGTGGCTCGTGCCGAGCCGCACTCAGCGACGGGGACCGCCATTTCATCTGCGTTTCCTGCCAGGGTAAGGATCACGCAGCTCTCGGCATTGTGAGCTATTGCCCATGGTGACTCTGAGGACTCGCCTGGCATTTTTCTCCGAGTCTGCACTTCAGCCCGCTATAGTGCCGCGCCGTAAAAAGCGCCGTACTCAGCGGGTCCCCGAGCCTTCTCCAGCCCGTGAAAGCTCGCCGGTTCACCCGCCAGCTTCACCAGCTTCACTCGAGTCGCTCACCAACGGACAACGGACAATGGCCACCGCCCGCCGCCGCTTCCGCCATTAATGATGACGAGATATCTGCATAGAGGAGGCCAGCTGCTCTATCCTGGCGTCAGACAGTGCAGGGCTCAACATAAAAAAAAATCCCCACTGGCCCCCGGGGCCAGTAGATCAGAGTTTTGGTGGCCCCTTCTATATTTTTACTGGCCCTGAACGAAATATAAGGAAAAGCACTTTTCCATTAAACTGTAGGCATATTTATTGTATACATTAGGATTAATCAATACAGCAAAGGGAGTACAGGAATTAAGAGAGAGCCCCTGTATGAAAAAATAACCAAATGTCAGCCTGCAGTAGATTATTTGTCAATACCTGCTCTCTCCTCATCTCCATCACTCTTTCTTTTTTTCTCAGTCTCCTCATCTTACATATGCTTATTAAAGCTAAAGTTATTCATTCAAGAGCTGATTTTCTTTTTGCCTTTTGTTGTTTAATTCTCAGTAATGGCGCAATCCTCAGCATGTTTATTAGACTGGTTCCCCTTTAAGAACGAGTGCAGATCTAATAGTCACTGATGCACCATATTTTCTCCCAAATATTTCCATAACGTCCATTTTAGACATAAACTGTTTAAGTGAATCTCCAAGGCGGTCATTTTGACATATTATTGTGTATATTTGATCGTTTAGACGCGCACATGAAGCCCAATGTGTAATTTGCTTGTCTCGTTACGGTATGTTTCGGAGCGCGCGCCGCATTTGGAACAGCATCTCTTGCGCAGATTTTTGTGCTTTTAATAGCTCTTTTTATTATTAAACGTGTCCCGCAATTTAGCAACAGTAGAGACTGCATTTTACAACAATCACCGATCGTGCTGATTCTGTCTTAAAGTTTTAGTTTTAAGGTGAAATGGCAGCGTAGCCTACTGCTGCGATGGGAAGGAAGTTGCGCTATACAGAATGCGGCTATAGTTTTTAATGGTTTTACCTCAAATATTCTATAATCTTTGGAAGCCGAAATCTAAAATAAAATCCGAGTAATATCACAGATCTAAAGTGTGCTACGTTTTAGTTCTGTCCTCTGCTCTGTGGTCACTCATTAAGCTGGGCTGTCGTGCTGTGCGCACTGTGGCACCGCGTGAGAGATCTCTCTCTATCTGGACTGCGAATAGCAAAAATGCATCACAGACTAATGGTTTAATATTAATATATCCAGAAATGGCTGGTGACTCAGCGAGATGGTAAAAAAAACAACCAATAACGTCTGATGATCACCCCGCGTGTATTTTTCCAGTACAGACAGCAGAGCCAATAACGTCCGAGCTTATCGATACAGCGGTCTTTCAAAATTCAGCCCCGGGCTCGTTTAATACCGGGTTTCGGTACCCATCCCTACCAGTGTAGGCCCTACTGTGTTTTCCATGACACTGGGAATGTCCTCTTTCTCGTATCAGCCTCGTAGTTCTTTGACATTTTAACATGTTAAAATAACCTAAAGTAACACTAATGGTGTGTTCACACACCGAACGCGAATTTAATTATTTGCGCGAGTAGAT